TTGCCTAACCCTAACCCTTATCCTGACTTTAACCAAATCCCAATTTGGGGATACAGATTTTGTCCCCAATTGGACAAGCCAACATTGGTCTTTAGGCATGTGTCCCTGAAAGTAGCCTAAGTCAGACTGGGGTGTGTGTGTGTGTGTCTGTGTCTGTGTCTCTGAGTGCAGAGACACAGACACAGACACACACACACACACACACACACACACACACACAGATAAACAGTACAATTTATTTGTCTTACTTGAAGATGGTCTCTGCTTTTGCTGACATGGAAGATGAAGTGCCCCACTTCAGTTCTTCAGCTGCCTCCCAAAAAGCCAAGTTCTCCCCTGGGACACACACACACACACACACACACACACACATATATAAATAACTATATACATTTGGACACCCAGTCCCTTGTACCAGAAAATTATGATCTTTGTGGAAGAGCCTGTTTGTCCACTAAAGGAACCACATATAAGGACACTTTAACAACCCTCCTCAATGAACACAAGGACAGCTAAGCTGTAGTGTGTCATTCTGAAGTTTTAAGACGGCATCTCAAACAGATTGTCCCAAGTGTTTTGCTTATTGTCATTGGAAAAACTCATTTGTACATTCAAATACATTTCACACTTAAGCTGCATGTCTTTACATCCTATTCTTATACCTCATATCCATGTGTTTTGCACATAGTAACTGAGAAACACATGGGAGGAGCAGCAATATCACAATTTACCCTTCATAAGTCCCAGCTCTTTTTGTTCTGTGCTCCAATGACAGTCTCCAGTACTTTCTTATACTAAGATAAGCTATGTGCTAGGCTAATCTATGTTTAAAAGATAATCACATTTTAAAGATGGTTAAAATATTAAAGCAACATATAGTCACATCTTTAGTTAGCTAATGTTACAAAAATGTTAGCTAGCTATCTAGTTACATCTGAAAGCTTATGTTAGAAAAACACTAACTAGCTAGCTACATCAATCATTGGTTAGCTAATATTTTGCTCACATTAGCTAGAGAACTTAAAATGTGACTATACACTGGAGATCAAAATTGAAGAACAATTTAGGAACATTTTTTCAGAAATAATGTAATCCTAGAGAACAGCAATGACTGTAGCACGGAGAAATATTACAACAACATTTTCTGAAGGTTACAACAGCCAACAATTAGTAGGAAGTGTACATGCTGTTGCTTTGAATGACTTCAGCACATCTGTGTGGCCACAGGACATCACTAGTCTCTGCTCTGGTGTGATTTTGGTCCACTCTTCTTCTAGTGTCTTCGACAGTTCGGTGACTGTAGTGGGTTTCTTGGCCATAAGTTTGTCGCCAAAAAGGTTTTCTATTGGGTTTAGATCAGGACTCTGGGCTTTCATTATTTCAATGTTTTCAGCATCAAGGAAGTGCTTTACTCGTTTTGCTGTGTGACGGGGGGCATTGTCCTGCATGAAAATTGCTGGCTGATTGGGTGATGAACGCAGGGAAGGAACCACGTTGTTGAAGAAGGTTCTGATAGACATTTGTATTCACTCTGCCATGTAGCTGCATAAGAGGCCCAACTCCTGCTGCAGAAAACATTCCCCAAACCATGACACTTCCTCATCCACCTTTCACTGACTTCTTTACACACTTTGGGTTCAGTCTTTCTCCAGTTTGACGACGAACATATTGTTTCTCATCGGACCCAAATAAATTAAACTTGAAACGTGAACTTTGGACCGGTTCTCCTCAGTCCACACAACATGCTCCTCAGCAAAGGTTAGTCTAGCCTTTTGATTCTCTCTGTCAATGAGAGGTTTGGTCACTGCAGAGTGGACTTTCAGTCCAAATGCTCTTAAACGTTGAGACACTGTATGACAAGACAGATCCTTACCCTGTTCAGTGCTGAACTGGCAAGCAATTCCAGCTTCAGCATTGAACCGGTTGCCCACTGAGATTCTCGGCATTATTCTGTCCTCTCTTGCATTTGTCTTTTGTGGATGACCAGCCTTCTTGGGGGCTTGAATGAGTTTGTGACATTGTAAAGATGCAATATTCTAGAAATCAGAGGTTTGGAACGACCAACTTCTCTTGCTATGACTGATAGGGTCATCCCTTCTGCCTTCATCTGGACAATCTGCTGCCAGAGGGTTTCAGTCACTTTAGAACAGCTCACCATCTTGCAAAGTCAATGAAAACTGGAAAGTTTTGGAAAGTTAAATAGGGTTTGTCAGATAATTAAGGAGATTAGCACCAGGTGCCAGATTAACACCAATAACTGGGAGGTATCTGCAAGTGTTTTTGATCAGTGTTCTTTTTCAAATATCTTATAATCTTATAAATATCTTACGTTTTTTATACTGTGCTTTAGAACATATGTTACTTATGAAATATGATTAAAATACAGCTCTTTTACTCCTGTCTGGATGATTTCAAATAGGACTACGTAGTGACCTTGACATTTAGGAAATTGTAGATTGTTCTCTAATTTTGATCTCCAGTGTATGTCGCTTGTATCTTTTAACCATCTTCAAAATTTGGTCATTTCAGCGTGGTGACGTGGGGAGGAGGGGGTGGATTGCTAATTGCAGGAACGGAGAAGAAGTTAGCAACTTTAACAACATTTGACAACGTACCACTGAACTCTTTCTTGAGGAAGATCTTGAAGTCGTCTCGGCCTCGCAGGTCGCTCAGCAGCTCAAACAAACTGAAGGACCAGCGCTCTACTCGCATCTTAGTGGGGACCTCAACTCTGCACACAAACATTACATAATAGAAAGAAAGTAAGTATGTAAGTAAGTAAAGCTTTATTTATATAGCACCTTTTTGACACAGAGATCCAAAGTGCTTCATAATACAGCCCAGACCTCCTCTATGGGTCAGAGGGAACACAAATTTTATGTGCAGGAAAACAAAATTAGTTGTCAAAAGCGTGCTCTTCCTATTTTGTGCTGTAGAGCAATTCAGCAGATTTACACCCAAATCTGAAACAGAAGCTCACAATGTAATTCCTGTGTAGAGATGTGCTGTTACAGTTTTGATTTGAGATTGAGAAATTTAAGTAACTTTGATTATTTGACAGAAAGAGAAAAAGCAGCAGGCCTCACCTTCTCATGTTGAGAGTCCAGTATGTGTCATTGTCTGTTTGCCAGGGGTTGCTGGGTAGACAGGGGGCCAGGAACGGGTCGTGGTTTTTGTAGGTTGTGATGTACTTGACCAGTCTGCAGTACCAGAATTATTATGAGTCCGACAGAATTCACAGAGCCTCTGTTTCAGTGTTTCTAAACTGGTCTAACCAGTGGTTTAACTGATCACTAAAATTACAAGAAAATGCCTCAAATTCTGTTGAACCTCTAGAAATGTTTCCAAATAGATAAGAAACGTACGCTCCAAGGGACACGCTAGATTTGACCTTTGACCTCATGATGGCTTGTTGATAGAACAGGTTCTAAGACAGAGTTGAACAAACAAAAACTTTTTGTAAAATTCTCATATCTATAGACAAACATTACAGTTTCAAACCATCAACGTTTGGAGATTCAGTGGTGCTATGATACAATCAGATTACTTATATAATACTATGACTTACCCTGCGTCTGTACTGGTCAAAGCTGATTTTCTGAAAGACAAGAAGAAAAAAAATTGTTATTAGTTTATTTGTCTTATATCATTTATAAAAGCATGTATATATGTAAATATAACTGAGGGACATGCTGATGCTACCCATGGTGTTATGGCTAAAGAAAGGTGGAAAATAACAACAGCAACAAAACATAAAAACTGTCGCTCCAGGGTAAAGGATCTTTTGGTGATTATTGCAGCCAAAAATCTATATCTTGTCAGAAAAAATTACTGTGGTCAAAGTAAAAAATAGTCTAAACTTGGCTTGTTGAAATTGACCTGGTCTACTTTTTAAATTTAACTTTTTTATTTTTTTTTTCCAGGAAAGTACAGAGCCCCTAAGGGAACATGGGCAACCAAAACAAAATCTTTAAGTTACTCATACACATGAAAAACTATCCCATTTCTTTTGACCACGTCCCCTTAGGGCCTCCGTAGAAAAGTAGAATTTCTAAAAAAAAATCCCATATGACGAATTAACCTTAGAATTATTGCAGGAATTAAGACACAATTGCAAACACTTAATATTATGAAATAATGCAGTGTCTGTTTAATAATTACAACAATGCTAATGTCACTATTCCCTGGAAAGACCGTTTTTTAAGACTACATGAAACACAATTATACAAATGTAGTTTGTAAAAATGACACTATTTTATTTTGTAACCCTTTACTCTCTATCTTCATCAGCATAAAGAGACCTGTTTGAAAAGACAGAAAGACAGGACAAGGGAAAATGCAATGAATGACATGAGAAATACATGTAGAAGGGCAGCTTGAGCCAAAAGACACCATGATTGTGTTAGATCGAATACGGACGCCTTGGGACCCCGAGAATGAGACTCACCATTCAACTATCTTTCTCAGCTCTGATTGGTTGTTTGCGTTCAGGCCCAGTGGATCCTTACAAATGCCATAAGGAGCACTAGGAGGAGCCAGAGGAACCTGATTTTCTCACAGATTATCCGTCTCATGTACTACTGTCAGGATATAGTGAAAGTTTCAATTTCCGAAAGTTATTTTTTATAAAAGTTACCTACTGCAGCTTTAATGACAGTAACAAAGTACTTGTAGTTTGTCACTTCCCACCTCTGCCTACAGTGTATAATAAAACAGTAAAAGTTAAGTCACACAAGATTCTTTAGAAAGAACAAGCAGCAGCTTTGCCAAAACTTGAAACAGAGTTGGAAATCGATCAGATTCACATTTTACTATGATCAATAACCTCAGTGTTATCTCCAACCCTCCTTTACAGTTTCACAATTATGTTAAGTTATGAAGCAGATGTCAATGAGAGCAGTGTAATCAGAGCATTTTAAATCTGAAATCCTGACAGTAAATGTGGTCTGATTAAAAAAAAAAACTCTACAAAGCTTAATCTTTAACTTAACCCAGCATTAATAGAGTTTTAAAATCTGAAAACTGAAACTGTGATTTGTTTTTGGTGTGTGAATGTTAACGAAGGAGAAGAAAAAGAGAGAAAGGTAAAGGCAAGGGAAGGGGTAAGAGAGTGTGGGAGGTTGTAGTCTCTAAGTGGATATGTCTACAGAGATCAGTCCAGCAGTACTGCTTCTCATGTTAAGCTCCAGTAAGTTTCTTAAAAGACCAGCTGACCTCAATCTCTCCACTGTTGTGTGTATGTGTGTGTGTATACTGACCTGTTACCTCATCCGCAGTGGGATCAAAAAGACAATCTGGACCACTGTCCATAGCACTGTGAGTACGACGCTGGAAACACACAGGACAGGTTCATGATAAATGTACAGCAAGTATAATATTGTATATATATTATATATTATTAACACACAGCATCACACACACTGACCGGTGGCCTGTTCACTATCCAGTAAGCCCTCTCCTGGCAGTCAAACACCACACGATCCGGCTTCTTCCTCTCCTTACCAGCCCTTCAGAAACATTAAAAAAATGGAAGTGGGGTTAAGATGAACTAATTTACCAAAACAATTTGACAGATTGTTTACTTCAAGGAACTTTCATTTTATGATGATTCTGGCAGCCCCTGTGGAAAAAGCGATAATGTTTCTACTGCTTCGTTTTGTCTGATTTGGAGGGGACTGCCTCAGGTGGTTTGTTACACAGAACCATCTGGGTTGATGATATCAGTACTGGTGAGTATTTCTTCATTGGAAGAAGAGCAAAGAAAGGCACTGGCACAACAGTAAGAGGTGTTATATGGTTAATTGATCTCACTGGTTGAACAATCCTGCTGGTACATATACGTCTTTAAATTTGGGAATTGAGGTCAGGACAGAGAAGATTTCCTCCTTTAGTTGATAAATGTAAAAGCAAACTCTGCACAAGTCAGCAACATCACAGCCAATGAGCAAAATACATTTTTGACTGAAGGAGACTTTAAAATGCATAATCCGAATGTGCCCAGTTCGATCCCAGTTTGATCCCAGTTACTTGTTAGAAAAAGAGTAGAAAAAAAAGTAGCTAGAAAAGTACTAATAGCTGTAATGGTTCCACCTACTTGTACTGCTCAGTGGCCTGCATGACGATAAAGTCCCATTTGTGGTTTAACCATTCATGGAGGTGGTTGTAATGTGCCTGTTTAAAACACAAGTACAGTGACAACATTGAGCAGCAAGTTAGGAAAATCACTCACTATCTTTCTATGGAGAACCAAAGAGATATATGCAAGAATTGGCCACCTGTCGAATTCATTAATTCCAAACAAATATGGAGCAGCATATCACCAGAAAGTTAGCTAAAGTAGCTAAAGTAACTGCTAGCTGCTGCTAACTGTAGCTGCCATTAGTTAGCTCAGTTAGCTGTGCAGTTAGCAGTCCTATTGGTTGAGACTGCCTGGACTGGGAGCTCTGGGGAATTGGAGGAGTGTGTATACAACACTAGCCTAGCACAGGAGCACAGGTGAAGGTTGTCAGGGCCGAGATGGGATACAGGCCTACTGTGTGTATTTTTAAGGTTTTCTTACACTCAATAAGGCCTTGTGAAATTTCGGACCCCCATATTGGGAACCACTGTCTTACACATACACACACACATGCAAACACAATTATTCATATACCTGTACACAAACCTGTTCATAGGGTTCCAGCATGCCTTTCTTGCGAATGTTCCTCTTGGCCAGGTAAATGGCTACAGTCAGAGTAAAACAAAATTATACATTAGAAAAAATATTATACACTTTTACACACAATTTCACCCACAGTCAGAGAAGACTGATATCAGGGTCATACTACACAACCCCATATGACATACTGTACCCACCGTAGTCAGTGTCTTCTGCAACCCATTTCTGTGTAGGCCAGAAGTATGGCGTCTGAAAAGGTTTAGATTGGAGAAGTATTAGTGATTCAGTGTGATCTATTAATGAACACAGTATCAGGTTTTGGCTGCAGTTTAGGTTACGTAAAGCTTCAGGTTCAGGTTTTGTTACTTTCCTACTCTTCTGTTTGGGGTACTGGAGACCTACTACCATTCTTTACATTGTTTTATTAGCGTTGTACTTGATGGCTCTTTCTGACTTTATAAGAATTACTTATAAACACGATTTTGTACTGCTGACATGTCAGAAGGTGTCATATCACTTCTGTTGGGCTTTCAGAGAGTTATAAAAGTCTTCCAGATAGTCCTGCCAGTATCTCCATGTAGCTCCATTCACAGTAGAGCCAATAGTCATTGTTGAAATAAAGCAACAAGTTTCATATTACACAGAAAGGTGAGTGGACATCACAACTTTCTGGCCGGACTTAAATGTTTTACTCTTAGAACATTTAAAGCTGCAGTAGATAACTTTTATGAAAATAACTTTTTGTCATATTTGCTGAAACTTTCACTATATACTGACAGTAGTACA